TCCCTGTAGTTGTGTGCGTGCACCTCACAAGGATAGGGACAGCATTTATGCCGGTGCGTGTACACCTTAAGATACGTGCAATCATTGTTATGCTGCACAGGTATCTCGTAGTTAACGTCGTCTGGCTGTATCCTGTGCAGAGATAGCTACAGGCGGCGAGTGATGTAACACCGAAGACGACACATAATCGCGAGCAGCCTATCGTTATCTCGAGCCACAGTTTTTCAGTTAAATCAATGAAAACACCGAGGCGCCAGGTGACGCGAGTGCGACGAGAGCTTTAAATATCGCAGCTGACATTAACGATCCCGAGATACGACGACGGGATAGGAATCGCTCGGGCGGCAGCTCCACGACAGTCCATTTGGTTTAATCGTAAACGAAAACGCGACACGCGACGTGTGTGCGTCGTGAGCCTCACCATGTAAATAAAAACAGCGGGTATATCGATAACGCGATTAGCATGCGCGGCGCCGCGAGGTTCCAGTCGTTTACATATCGTGCAAGAAAGCTGGATGGCATTTTTTTTCCTTTTAAGAATATGTATAATTTACGCGATCGCCGTGCATAATGCACGTCGCGCGAGGCGATTACTCGCGACAAACGTGAATGCGAAGTGACAGCCGAGCCTTCCCTCTCTTTCTCTCTCTCTCTGGGTAGTATTTATAGTTAGATCTTATTTTAAGATCATCTTTAAATAGTCCGTGGCCACTGAAATGTTCCATACAGCATCTTTAGATAAAGTCAAGACGGATCTTAAATACAAGACCTGACTATGAACCTGACCGTGGTCCGTGCCTCCACGCCGCTCGCGACACTGTCACCCGGTTCGCACGTGGTTATCCCCCTTTCGCTCCGGCCAGAAAGAGGGTGACACTCACCTAGCTTTGCGCTCCAGCTGGCCGCTCAGCTCGTTCCTCTTCAGCACGAACGGCAACCTGTTGCTGACGACGATCATGCTCCCGTTGGAGGTAAAGCTACACGGCTCTATGGACCACATGGTTGTTGCGTGGTGACGGTACGGTAACGCGCAACGGAACCGTGAAGGTGGGAACCGCGGTGGCGAAACGTCTGGCAGCACCGCGCGGCCTAGTCGACGCGGTCGTCCTTGTCCACGCGGAACGTCGCGTTGTCACGTGCGTACAAACGCGTACAGACACGGGCGGCGGAAAGGATGCGGCTCTTTTATTCCCCTCTCTCTCTCTTTCTTTGCGCCTCCGACGGAAATCGGCTCGCGCGCGTCTCAGCCCCTCGCCCGATCGCCTCGTGCGCGAAACGTCTTCCGCGATTTCCCGATACTTGCGCGGTTAGTGTCGTTCCTGCCTCGGGTCCATGGTTTACCGGCGTTTTATCCCTCGCCGGTTTACGCGGGTCAGTAAGAGTGAGAAAGTGTGTGTGTGTGCGAGAGAGAGAGAGAAAGAGGAACAAAGGGGAAAAACCGGTGTAGGCGAGCGCGGGAGCGAGCAGGTCGGGTTGCGCAATGTGTCGCGTTGCGCGGCCGGGGCAACACTAAACCGAACTCAACTAACGCCGTCGCGCTTTATCCCTCTTAAGTCGGCGCGGCCGTTTGGTCCAAAGTGCGCTCCCTGTAACCATATCAATGACGGGGGCCGCGACCTCTCGACCACCACCCGCGCGCGCGATCGGCCGCCCTCTCGACCGCCGTCGCCGTCCATCAAACGCAACGTTCTCCACGACCGAGACGCCTCGGCGAGTTGCCATCGCGCTAAATGCCATGTAAACACAACCGGGGTGACACCCCCCCAGCGAGATATCGCGGGGGACCAGCCGCTCCGAGTCTCCTCGAGCCGATATTTCGGACCTTGGCGACGACGATTTCGACCGTTCGACGCGCGCTCCGGGACGCGTGATCGATCAATCGCCCTCGCCTTCTCACGTCTGTGAAATGGGCCCAACTTTTTCAAAATTCATTAATATTAATTACAATTCTGAATGCCCCGGCAGTTCTCAATTGGTTTTAGAAATTCCGTTCTCCACTTTTCGTTTCTCGCGCGCGACATCCGCGTTGCCCCGCGATTTTGCACCCTGGCACGCGAGGTCGATCGCCCTCGCGTTCTCACGTCTGCGAAATGAGCCCCACTTTTTCAAAATGCATTAATATTAATGACAATTCTGAATACCCCGGTTAGTTCTCCATGGGTCTTAGAAAGAATTCCGTTCGCGTTCTCCACTGTTCTCCACTTGCTGTCTGTCCCGCGCGCGACATCCGCGGAGCACGCGCGATTTTGCACTCCGGAATGCGTGATCGATCACTGGCCGCGAGTCGATCGCCCTCGCGTTCTCACGTCTGTGAAATGGGCCTCACTTTTTCAAAATTTATTAATATTAATTACAATTCTGAATGCCCCGGCAGTTCTCAATCGGTTTTAGAAAGAATTGCGTTCTCCACTTTTCGTTTCTCGCGCGCGATAACCGCGTTGTCCCACGATTTTGGGTCTTCACGACGATTCGTTCGGGCCCGCACAGCCTGACTCGGGAGGGGCGCAATTTCCGAGACGGAGTTAGCGAAGCGAGCGTGAATTTTTCCACTTGACGTGCAAACAATTCTAAATTGCCGCCAATTGTTCGATTCTTTACACGAGATAAGATAATCATATTTCTCCGTTCCTGTTCAACCTAGAGATAAGTGACTGGCGCCGTATCGATAAACCGCTTTGAAAAACCTGCGACGCATAAGCACCGTGCAACAGCGTCCTTCTCGTCAGTTAAGAATCGGCACGGATGGAAACGACTCTTCGCGTGGGTGAATTTCTTTCGGAGATGTTGGAACTTATCGATAATCAAAGGGGGGAAAAAAATAACGTCCTCTCGAGCGAGCACCTTTGACGTGACGTGAAAATCAGAGTGATTATCGGATCGACCGGTACCTTTCGCGATTGAGAAATTTGCGGTGAGTCATTCGCGCCTCGCTAAGCGCGTCTAGCCGAAAGCCGTGATGCAAATACGTCTAAGAAAAAAAAAAAACGTTATCGTCACGCTGCGAACGCGTGTCACCGTCGTCGTCGTCGTCGTCGTTGTCGTTGTCGCCTTCGTCATTGTCGACGCACGACGAAACGCGGAAAATTGGCACGCGCCGCGCACGCGGTGCGTGCGTTTTAATCCACGCGGAAGTAAAAGATATTCACATCTTCGTGCGGATTAATGACGCACGAGCGAGAAACAAGGGTGGAGGGGAGGTGCTAGCTACAACTTGAAGAAACGTTATCTCTTTCGTCCTGGAAACGTCGCGACCGAGAGTGACGTCAAGCGTTCTATGCAAACTTTTTACTGGCGGACTTCGAGTAACAATTTCAAATACGTAACTTGGACTTGTAAATGCATATTAAGGGCCAGTTTCACAAACATCGGTTAACTGCTAACCGAAGGTTAATGGATTCTCTGTCTCTTCTTGAATAATAAGATGGAAAAAGATAGGGAGTCGACTGAACCTTCGTTAACAGTTGACCGATGTTTGTGAAACTGGCCCTAAGTGTACACGAAGAGAATATATACCGGAAAATTGTGTAATTGTGGGACAACGTGACGTTTCGAAGAAATTTGTGAGTCTTTTGAAATTTTACCATTCATTTTGCTAGCAAAATGCGAAGTTGTCCCACGATGATTTTCGGGGCAAAGAGTGAGAACAAGATTCGCATTCGATTTTGGTCACAAAGTCTAAGCAAAAGGTCTCGTCAAGCTGATTACAGATATGTCAGTCTCAGGGTATACGTATTTAACGTTCCAGAGATATTGGGCTTCAAACATTACCAGGACGTAAGCGACGAAGCCGCCTAGACAGACACCAACCATTTGTTTGGAATAGAGCCCGATATCTCTGGAACGTTAAATAGATACACTCTGAGACTGACATATCTGCAATCAGCCTTTCAAAGAGACCTTTCATTCGATACATACTTTGTGACCAAAATCGAATGCGAAAAAAATTAGGCCATTTGCCTATGGACACTTGTTCTCACTCCTTTAAGAGAAAGTTCTCCCTGTGTACGGTCATGTTGTTTTCGGAATATTCGTGCGTATCATTGCTTAGATATTCGTACATATCATTCCTTTGCTCTAATAATGCGTCACTGCACATATCCGTGTGCAAAAGCTATATTGCGTAATTTATCATAAAACGTCGAACAACCTATCTCAGGCGCGACTGTACGCGAAGCCTGAGGTCTTTGGGACTTTCGAGGTGTGAACATTTCGCGGCAACAACGACACACAGCGCGAACTTTCGAGTAATCCGGAAATAAAAGAAGTGAAATATTTAAGTACGCACGCGCGTACGCCGGGTTGTCCGTCGATAGGCGAATCTGGAGCTATTTCAGCCGCGCGCAGTTCTTATTCGAACTCCTCGGTGTATTTTTATCTTTTTGCGAACACATATAAATATATGTAGAAAGGAGAGAGTGCCAATGTGAGCCACAAAATGAACGGAACTCGGTTCTCACAATATGGAAACAAAGTTTCTCTTCAATAGCATAAACGTTTCGACCCTTCTTCGGGTTAGGTAAAACTCGTTTTACTGTATTTTACTAAAATATATATATATAGGTATCTTTGATTTCTCGGAACGTTAATGTACTAAACAGTAATAATGATTCTTCCAGCTTTACGAAATTTGTACCGCATGTTTAAAGCTCACTTTGGCTCCACGAATTTGCGTGAGATTTCGATTTTATTGCAAACGGATAGAATTCCGTTTACAGTTGTAATAAGTTTTCGGAATATTCGTACGTATCATTGCATAGATATTCGTACATATCATTCCTTTGTTCTAAAGACAATTATAATTGTAAATTGTATTTTGATATAAATATTTTGTGTGTCCTTTCCGATTCTTCGATATTTTCCGTATTACGCGACGCAGATAATTATAAATAGACGTCGGCGTTATTCTAACTCTATTCTGGCTCCTAGGGCAAACGAGAGAAGAATTTAAAATGGCGCTTTGAGTGAAACTAGGCGCGCGAAAACGTCAAGAATAAAAAGGTAAACTATTGAATAAAAAAAAATGTCCTCACTATTTATACGCATTTAAGAATAAATCAATGGTCTCATGATCTTTCCCATTATCATTGAAAATTGTAAAGATAAGTGTTTTAAAAATAATCAATCTATAAAGCCTCCGCTACAATGATTCTCGGTTCTGTCTACAATGGTCGTAGTCGTAAGAATAATCGACTGCGATTGGTCAATTCTTATCGAGCGACTACGACTACGACCATTGTAGACAGAACCGAGAATCATTGTAGCGGAGGCTTTAATGTTATCGACGGTATCGCCGTTGGAAAGGTGAAATCGTTAGTTGTTTTGTCTTTTGTCATCTAAAATACAATTAATATCATAAAGTGCGCTCGCTAATTGGAGCGAATCAACACCGCGCTGTATTGCAATTAAAGTATTTCGCTCGGATTAACGCGTTCGTCGCTTTCCTTTCGAATTCTCCGGCTCTCGGCAATTATCTAATCTGTATTTTTATATAACGCAGTATCTTCTTTCACTTTTATCCGCCTTCAACTTTTACGTCTTGTAAATGTTTATTACGCGTATGTCGATAGCGTTCCGGATGTGCTTACTGATCTATGAATAAATCTATTTCGCAGATAAGCGTTGGACGTTGGAATGCACAATAGAATCAACGTGACCTCTCAACCGCGATAAGGCGTCCACGTTCAACATTTCGAAGCGCTAAAATGTGAATCACGCCGAAGTGCGCGATTTCTGATCTGATTACGAAAGCCCGAAAGTATCGTCGAAGACGAGTAATCGAGGCAAGAAGGACTCCATCGTGGAGTAACGTTGCAAAGTTTCAGTTAAATCCAACTCCCTTACAGATTTCCTTATGTCCGTTCTACACCTACTCTGGGGAAAAAAGTCAGTTACAACCCATTTTGGGGCCCACATTTAGGAATCGAATTATTTAGATTGTTCGTAACTCTAATCTTTTACGAATTTTATCCCGCGTAACTAAAAATCACAATTAGCTGTTCTATCTATATCCAAGATATTAAAGTAATACTAATCAATTCTCTCAATTAGTTCTGTCGATAGTCAGTAACGCAAAGATAATTTTCACTTAAGTGGCAATAACCGAAATGTTAAGTTGCTTAACTACATAAAAAAACGGTTAAAATTTTTCCCAGAGTACAGTTTACGAACAATCCAAATAATTCGATTACTAATGGTGGGCCCTAAAATGGGCTATAACTTTTTTTCCCAGAGTAGGGACGATCCAAGAGGTTGGTCACCGAGGTATTCTTTGTACGAGGGCTAGATAATTCATCGGCAATCCAACCGAAATCTTGAGTAATCCAATATATTTGGGGCAATTTTACATATTCTAAGGTAATCTTGTGTAATATGAGATAGCATTGGATTATCCGGAGTAATTTGAGGTAGCATTAGGTAATCTTGAGTAATCTGAGGTAATTTAAGGGTAATGTTCGTTTACTATAACCGCTAGTGACCAACCCCTCGGGATGGTCCTACTTGTGGCTCATCCGAGTGAAAAAGTTTACACGAGTACTTTAGTAAGACTATCATACTAAGTATGGTTTTTCTATGATTTTACTATGATTTTTAACCGTCTTCTTATGTAGAAATGGCACCCGAGTCCATAAACGGTTTCAATACGATTTTCTCCGATTTCCCTGACCACTGGAGACACCCTGTTTAAATTCGTACCTCCCGCGCGTTCGGCCTTTAATTCGCACCTTCCGCGCGCTCGGCGCCGCGCCAGTTTCGAATCTCGCCCGAGCTCTCGGTCTCTGGGCGGGCAGGACGGATTTCGCAATCGCCGCGAACGAGATCGAACTTGGCCGCGAGTCGACACACGGATTTCGAGACACGCTTGGCGCTGCTATGTCTGCCGATATCGAGGCGCGAAAGTGTAATACGAGCGCTCTGACCGATAATATTCAATTCAATTATACATTTGGGCTAAAAATACGACGGCATTAACGCTCGGTGCTTTATCAATCAAGATGCTCCCCCATTATCTTTTCATCATCGCGTAACGTCGCCTACGGCGGCGGTCACAGGCTCCGATTAATCTCAACAACGGCAGACCTTGCTCGAAAAAGAAATTAACTACAATTTGGATTTGGAGGCCCGGTTTCTTCATCGTCGCTCAATTTCAACCTTAGCTTAATTCACCTTTTATCCCTTTCAAACTGTCCCTTTAAAAAGAGACGAGGAACAATCCAAGCTAAGATTAAAGTTAAGCGACGTCGGTGAAACCGGGCCTCGATCTTTTCTTTCAATTTGTTAAACGAAAATTTAACAGTTCTGCCCGCAGTGTCGACAAAACGGCGTTAAGCCCGTGTCCCACTACGTACTGCGGACGCGGATTGGATTGGGATTACGGATTGCGGATCGAAATTCAACCAATCGGGTTCAAGGCCGCCTCGTCTGATTGGCTGAAATGTGATCCGCAATCCGTAATCCCAATCCAATCCGCGTCTGCAGTACGTAGTGGGACACGGGCTTTACTCGGTCAAGTCGGTCGGTCGGAATTTGGTGCGCCAGGTGCACAAGAGCGCGAGCGACCGAGACCGGCCGGGAATTGAAAACGTGAGGCCACCCCGGTTCCAATTCCCAGACTATAGCGGATACGCCTATGTTCCGAGAGGAGAGACACGCACAGCGCGAAGTCCGACTCGCCTCGTTCGCACGACGTCGATTTTGCGACTCTCTCTGTCTCTCTCTCTCTCTCTCTCTCTCTCTCTCTCGGCCTTCCGCGACGCCTTTGCTTCCCTCCGACAGCGTGAAAATACCGCGATTGGCGTAAGCGCGCGAGCGATGACAAAACGACGTTCTCTTGTCCGTCGGTCGACGAACGATCGGACGACCGGACGACCATCGTCAGAGGAAACGAAAGCTGGCACAGATCAACCTGGGAGACACCCACCTCAACGCTCGACTGTCGTCCCTTATTTCGTGTGACAGTGCGGACAAGTACGTGTGTCGCCGGCGTGTCTCCGAATTGCTCCGAATGACGAGGAAACTGCGATCCGATGCGAGGGGCACCGCGACGCGTACCAGCGAACGACGCGACGACGGCGACAGCGGCGGCGCCGGTCAGTATCTTCACGAGAGACGACTCTCCCCAACGGGTAACCGACGCTGACCGACACTGACCGACATCGACTGTAACTGGCCATGTAACTGGTGCCCTCCTTCGCAAAGTCTCTACACGAGCAAGACCGGCGAACCGATGCAGCGATGGGGTGCGCTCACGGCGTTGGCGCCCCGCCAACCGCGAGCGAAAAAATTCTCTAGGCAAGTCTCGGCCATAGCAGAGAGAAACCTGAGAGCGGCGTTTTACTTGACTGCTTTCGCGAGGTCAAAATGATCCGAAGTAAAATGACCAAGCGTAGTACAAGGTCATTTTAATCTAAATCATTTTAATTTTCTCGCGAAAGCAGCCCAGGCCGTCTCTAACGCTTGCACTCACCGTCAGATTTTTAATTGTTTATACATATATTTTTTCAATTTTATCTCGGCGATGTTTAACTTGGTGCTAAAAATACTTCATCATAAAATAAATATACGTAGCATAATTTACTAAGGCCCAGTTTCACCAAACGTCGCGTAACTCAGTTTAATTCACGTTTGTCTTTTTTTAAAGTAACAGTTGGAAAGAGACAATATATTGCTAAATAAAAAATTTGCGGACAATCTATGTTAACATTCTTTTGTACAAACAAGATTGCTCCGTTTATATCGGACAATCAATACGATTGCATTCTGATAAACTAAACTTTGCATTTTTCTAGTTCCAAACGAAATGATACCTGTCTTTTTTATTTTAATAAAATGTTTATCCGATAAAAACGGACCACCTTGTAGAGGCCCTCCACCACCCCCGCCGAATACTTATCGGCGGTCCTCTTTTGTTTGCACCAATTGTGCTTTTACGTTTTTATAACTAATTTTTACTTGTTTTTACCATTTACTGTGTAATATATAAATAAATATAAAAAGACAGATAGGGTTACATAGTGAAACTAAAAACATAATATACAATAAAAATATGTTCACTATTCCATTATGGCATAAAATTACATATGAACATGTGATATGAAAACAATAATACATACATAACTCTTACACTATAAAACATTAATAGAAGATGTTACACAATGCTACACATGTGGCTGCGTCTAACATTTTGTATTAATGTGCAAACGAAAAATCAAATTGTAAAGGAAAATCTATCGATCAATTGCAAACGAAAAATCGATTAAAAGAATATAAGTGAATTCAATTAAATTAAAATTGTATTTGATGAAAACAAATCGCAGAGCCCCCCCCCCCCCCCCCGCCAATCTCAATCGGCGGTCCTCTTTTCTTTACAATGTGATTTTTTACAATTTTATTATTAATTATTTCACTTTTTTTATAACTTACTTTACAATGTATACGATATCATAAAAGAAATAATTACAATATAAAATAAAAATATATCTGTACAATACAATATTTCTCTCGATGTTACCTATAAAATGCTCGGTATGCATACAATAACGTGAAATTCTTGCGATGTAAAGTATATACACATTGCATGTTTGGGATAAAAAATATCCCGAATGTATTTATTAACGATCCATTAAAGGTAAATCAAATCTGCAAAAATTTTACGTAAATTTAAAATGCAAACTTAACAAACGCATAACAACTTCCACCTTATAATATGCATCCGATTGCAAATATAATTATGTTTAAAGAAATGCATGGCAGTTATAATTTTATCTATCTTTTTAATTATCTAGTTGTACCCCCCTGTCCCTGCCTACCCGAATCCCTACCTACCCGTATTCCGCTGTATAGTCCTATCCATTTTCTTACCTACCCGCGCTTCAACTTTTTGTTAATAAACCTACAAGTCTTTTATTAAAACCGACGCGATTTATAAGAGGTCCGATTTGGAGTTGTATACGCGCGCGATTGGGATGTAATAGGGGTCTTTTTAATCTCGCACATATGCGAGAATGTGTAAAAAAGATAAGAATTTATAACCCACCCGAATTTTGACATAATAAGAAGAAATAAAGTTATTTTGCACATCACTTTACATACTTTATCACAGTGGCCAATATTGACCACTAACTCGGCGTATCCCTTCGTTGGGCCAGATTGGACATACCTTTCGTTGCTCCTGGCCATACAGTCTGGTCATTTCGACCAGAGATCAGGAAGGAAGAAAATTCCTTCCATAGTCGGTTTATTATTGTCACCGACAGATATTTCGTTCGGTTCGAACTATATGCGAGCGTCGATCGTATCGAAATGCACGACCACGAGAAGTTAATTAAAGAAGAAAATTAAGTGAAAAAATTTGCTGTATAAAACACTTCAAATATATTTTTACTTTACGTTATTTAATTGAAAATAGATAATGACTGTCTTTTCGTGACTCAAACTTTAAATTCAAAGTTCAAGGATATATTACTTGTATGTTGAAAAAAACAATTTACTTCGCGTTGTATTTATTTTAAATTCTGCGATAAGTTTAAATTTATAATATCGATGAAATTAAGCAATTACTAATTTCTTGAAAATTTTTTGAAAAGTTAATCGCGACACCCGACCGCGAAAATACGAAGATGCGTGTAACTATGCATGTATTCATGCGAGACGCATCTTGAAAGTGAATCGCGGAATACACAAACAGAATAAATGACGTGAGATCCATAGAAAAGAAATTTTCCGATAAATAGACCGACAATGGAACATTCTAGTTAATGAATAATCTCAACTAACGTATAAATTTAAAATAATATAAAGTTTCAGCGGTCTCGATAAAATAATTAGATCTCACGTCATAGTTTTGCACTTTATAAACATGTATAAATTTACTACTGAAAAATGGATAGAATGGGTTACAAGAAATTAGCTCGACGAATAAATTAATAATATTCGTTATGTTTGCGTGAAAATGTGTGACGTGCTACAATAGACCACCCAACCCTCCACAATCGTGATCACTCCCTTTCGGTAAATGAAATATATTAAAGTAAACAAGAAATTTTATGTTATAATCCATCCATTTTTTGGTAACGAATCTCGAGAATACATCAATCTATAGTCTACATTCTACGATCTACAGGCCTGTGTCTACGATGCTAGGACTTGGTCCAAGTTCTAGTTTCGAGAAATGTGTAACCAATCAATTTGCATCTCTTACGGAAGAGCTGCAAGTTGATTGGCTACACATTTTTCAAAACTAGAACTTTAACACAGTTCTTGGATCGTAGGCACAAGGCTTACGAGATTCGTTACCTGAATAAAAAACTACTCACTTACCGACCCGATGCGCAGCAGCGGAGTTGGCTACGTTGAATCTGTAACACAAATATAGAATTTGTTAAAGCAGTGTTCAATGTGGAAACTATTATTATAAAATATAGTTATCGCACAAGTAATTCTTATGCGTATCAAACTTCATTCGACTCGACGTTTAAGTGATTAACGCGCGAGAGATTTTTCGCGAAAGAACTTTACGAGAATGAACTTTTATGAAATATCAAGTGGTTGCTTGTTCTCTAATTATCATTTTGACATTATTGAATTATGAAAGGGAACGACTAAAAGAGAAACTGGGAAAGAGATTACTTTTACACAAAATGAAAAATGACATTTACCTTAAAGTTGCTCCGCCGGTGCCTGATGCCGTTTCCAGGCCTGCTCCTCCTCTCAGATTGGTCCTCTGGCACACTCGCGAAGGCACAAAGATCGTTCGCGCGATTTTACACTCCCGTAAAACCCACCATGTGAAAGCATGTATTTTGTTCCGTCAAGTTCGCCTCCACTTCGAGTCGGCGAGTATTATACGAAAAACTGCCAAATCTCGGAAGTGATCGACAGGAACGGACGTTTGACAAATACTTGCTTCTCAAATGGGCTTTGAAAAGTCTTTAGTCCGATTATTTTAAACGGCACTCCCGAACGCGACGAAAATGGAAATTTTACGCGCACTTTTGTATGTTTAATTGTTAAAGAGATTATTTCTTGGTACGCGATCGATGTATTACAAGTTTTCGTTATTATATTATCCGTCGATTCGTGTACTATCTCGCGCTTTTCATCTGAAAGCGATAAATGTTTCACTTCAGTCACTTAAACCGACGAAAATTTTCAAGCACTATGTGAAAGAGATTCATTCCAGTTCGATTATTGAAAAAAAGACACTATCACTCGTGGATGTAAGTATCGGAACTAATAATTTCTCTATGTAATTCACTTATCGCTTTCTCTTCAAAGTACGCGTGATACTCGTCTCGACGCACCGTAGAGATCGACGAATATGATCACGACAATTAGTTCTCGCACGAGACGATCGCGTTACGAAAAGCGACGCGAAGACACGCGGAACGGAACATCCGACTCGGTCGACTGATACGCGCCGAATGGTGCGACTCAATAGACCGTTTTCGACCGAGGTCACGGTCATGAGGTGATGACGTTCACGGCGCTATGTAATTTTTTGTTTACCGGCGCTCGGCGACCGAGGTGTTTACGCCGCAACGATCATTTCCTGGAATCCGCGCTCGGGCTGTGACGCTATGTGTTTCTTGGAATCCGCGCTCGATTGTTTACGACGCCGTACGCAAGATCATTCCACGCGTCGATAGTCGAACGAGTCGATTATGCCTGTGCCGTATATCGTATTTTCTTCCGTGACACGCGTTCGCGACAAGTATTGAAAGAAACCGCGACCGCTCTCTGCCTAATTCCATTCGATTTTGGAGGCGAGGGAGCTGAACTGAATAATTACCGCTTTAAAACTGGCGCGAATTGACGAAGAACGGCGGACCAATCGCAGCGGGCTTCCTTATGGCCAGACTCTGATTAGAGAATCTTTAGCCACGGTCTTACATACCGTATGTGTGTACTTTTTTGTACAAAATGTACATACGGGCTGCTTTCGCGAGAAAATTAAAATAAATCAGATTAAAATGACTTTGTGCCTATGATTGGTCAAATCTGAAATTTCATAGCATCACATTGAAATTTGACTCAATGAAATTCCAGATTTGACCAATCATAGCGCAAGATCATTTTAATCTGGATCATTTTGATTTTCTCGCGAAAGCAGCCACGGTGTACTATTCCTGCTTTATTTAGTAAAATAAAGTAGGCACGCGAGAAGAGTTTAATTGCTCAATTGAAGGAGCATTCGCCCGACGAGAAGTCCCTAGGCGATCAATTCTGCATCTTACACTATACAATTTTTCGAAAATCTTAAACGACTTCGAAACATCTCGACAGCGGATTACGTTCGTTCGACAACCACGACGCTGTTTCGTGAAGATCTTGAAAGAAATTGCCCGCTTCCGACCTCTCGCGCGAGAATCTCACCCGTTTGAGTTCCGACATGTCTCTAAATCGCCGCGTGTGCACACGCTCGCGCGTCACGCGAGGCGCAATTCCGCAGCGCGTTTGTCCACGTTCGCCGAGCGGGTGTTACGCGACTCCCGCGGGCCGCGAAGTCCCGCTTCTCCGTGTCGAGAGAGAGAAAACGGGCGGTCGCGTATGGGGATCGCGAGTATAAATAAGCCGGCCAGGTCGCAAGTCGGCGGCTCACCGCGGAGTATCGTCGGGCGTCCCGCCGCGCGATTGCGGAACTCCCGGCGCGGGCGGCTGGATCGCGGGCTCGACCGGGCGGAAGACGACGGGGGAGATCCGCGCGCGGCGGTCGCCTGGTCCAGTGAGAAATGGCCGCCGTTTTGAGGAGAGAGTTCCGTGCCGCGACGATCGCGCTCGCCGGCAACGGGAGTCTGCCGCTGCACGTGGCCGCACGGTAAGCACGGGCTCTGCGAGCCGCCGCCTTTCATTCTTCCTCCCTTTTTTTTTTCCCCCCCGTCGAACTGTCGAGCGATCCGCGCGGGTAACCGCGACGGACCGCGCACCGTAGCGGGCTACCCACTCGGATAATCGCTGGACGATATTATTTCCGCAGGTCCCTGACAAGATCGTCGGCCCGCTGCGACATCAGCGAGGGATGGCTGAGCAAGCTCCTGGTGCGGAAGATCGAGCCGACGAAGGAGTCGCACTCGCGGATGCTCTCCGACAAGGAACTCATTTACGCGCTCCACACCCAAAATATACGGCCAGACTCGATTGACAAATACTTGGCCAACTAGTGAGTCGACATCTTTGTGACCTTGCCTCCGAGTGCGTGATAGTTTACTGACCTATAAACCCGATAGAATCGTTCGGGCTTCGACGGAGTTGGACGCCTCCGAATTGTTCCCTTGTCGCTTCACGGTTCGTTTCCGCACGCACTGCGGCGCGATTCCGAAAATATAGTTGAAACTTGCGCTCTTTGTACCTTGGTATCTTCAACGAGTTTAGCCACGTCAGCGTTGTGTGCGTAAATTGGTATCAAGATGTAATTTGTACTCGTTTCGTAGCGTCTATGAATTTGATGGATGATTAAAAAGTGCGTGTATCGATATTTCCTTTTTATTGAGCTTGCGATGCCAAACCTCTCACCTGTGGTCGATACAATTTCATTCCTTTTGCGTCATTCCAGCGAGGAGAACGTCAATCTTATACACTCGAAAAAGTCTGAGCTGAATTGCGAATTGGTGGCTTCGTGGACAGTGGAGGTCGGGGACTTGGATCAGGCCATACATTTGTGGCAGTACACAGGTGGATACGAGCGCGTGGATCACGCGCAGGCTGTGCTCTCCAAAGATGAAGTAAATATCCTGCTGAATAATAAACGTGTCAGTGATCACTAATGAGAGAAAGAATTGATCTCCGCAGGCTTACCAGCGATTGCTCAAGGAACGTGGGAATTACCTGAGGTCACGCCACTTGCAGTATCTGTTGGCGTTCAGTTACTGGCCGCCGCTGGAGAAACGGAAAGGCCCTAACAAATATGAGATACGCAGTTACAGTTTGAAACCGGGCACGATGATAGAATGGGGGAACAATTGGGCGAAAGCCATTAATTACCGCCGCAACAACGACGAGCCGTTCGCTGGTTATTTCTCGCAAATTGGTAGATTGTACAACGTTCATCACATTTGGTGTAAGTGAAGCCGCGTATTTTACATTATGCTCGTTCGCCTTCGTGCACGTCGAGTAATGTCCGTTTTTACTTCCCAGGTTACACGGATCTTCAGTCGCGTAAGGAGACGCGCGAGAGTGCCTGGAGATCACCCGGTTGGGACGAGTGTGTCGCTTATACCGTACCCTTGATAAGAGAGATGCATTGTCGTATATTACGCCCAACCTCGTTTTCACCCACGCAATGAGAGTGCACGGGTGCGAACACAAATGCATTTTGTATATTATGCCGGGTATTTCTTATAAATATATACAGACTGTAATATTGTGTAAAAAAAAACGTTTGTTACATGTATACACTGTGTAAGTTAAGTACATGAGCTATTTACGCGCATGAGAAAGGCTACAAATTTTTGTTGTACTACAACTGGCAGGATATATTAGTTTGCTACTGTTTGGACGTTGTATGTATGTGCAATTAGCAAAAGCACCGTGCTTTTGTCCAAGTGTCAGTTGAATCACGACATGTATCTATAGAGAGAGAAAGATATAAAGGAATGACCCTTGTATTATACTTTTGTCTTTTTTTTCCTTCATTCGACAGCCGGCAATTTTTAAATATCCCACGGGAAGACAATACGATACAAATTTATTCGAGATTTCTCATATCTGTTGTATCTTTCAATTCCTGCGTAATATATTTGATGTATATTGAGAAAATGTAGATAGTACGCTATAACAGATACAAAAAGGAGACTCCTGAATTTATTACATTAATTAAATCGTCAATAAAATTTGCTTTGCACTTTACTTACAGGATCAGCGAACTGGATGAAAATGCATTCACGTAGTTTAACATTTCTCGTCTTTATTATCTTATCAATATGTGTTGGATTAAACAGTTTCAGCAGTTTACTTTAAGCCTTAATTTGCGCTGGAGATAACAGGCTTTTCCCAATCAATTTAGTTACATGTCTCTGTGTGTGTGCGTGTTACTGAAATTTAAAAATAAAATTAAATATTTGTATAAAATAATTACCAAGAATATTTATAACTCCATTATTCGCATTACGTGCAATGCGTTTCACGATCTATTAGGGAGCTATTGGCATCTATTTCAACAAAATTTAAAATTTTACGTTGTGTTAATAATAGAGACAATAATAATAATAATAACAAAATAATATTAATAAAATAGCTGGAGAATATTAGTCCGTTATCTCGTGCTACAGATAAGTTGTATGAGCATACATGGACTACAAATGTTAACTCACCCACTCAGACAATTACATTCAATTCGATGTGAAACACGTCGGCATTTGCCACAGAAAATTCTTGATGAAATTACTCTCTTTAATTGCAACTAAAGTTAACGCTCGTATAACACTTAAGAGAATTTGCATTTCGACATGGGAAGCTGTACACATTACAAAATTGAATAAAGAATGAACATTCCAGATTCCAATAATGGCCTCGTTAAGAATTGCGCACTATATGTACATACATCGGGCATGAATCTCATTCTACTATTAAAATATGGTACAAGGTGTTTGGTATGAGTTCTATTCTCGTTTAAGAACAAAATGCAAGGATGAATTGAAGCCTAACTGATAAAGCTTAAAATTGGCAAAGGAGATCAGATAGTCACGTCAAGAACAAATCATTTTTAGATCCGTTAGAGGATAGGTCGAACGTAAATCTCGTAAATGCACCTTTTTTTTTACAATGCTGATGCGTCTTTTCAAAATGAGGGGTTTCGGTAAGAAATATTTTTTTCCATAATTATGTACAAAATAGCAGGCTAGAAAAATCGTATTGACTTGAAGTACCTTCAGAAATCAAAGATTACATGTATAACATTCACACGAAATCTTAAATAATATTAATAACGTATCATTTTTACATGTTGTTATGAAAAAATATATTCTTCTGTGTAAGCCTTGTTGAAATCAATGTATGGCGTAGGTAGTTGTTGAATTTTTATTTAGTTGTCTCTAAAAGATATCAATTTTCCATTTTATAAAACATCTATGGGGGATTATTTTGCTTCACAAAATGACAGTATCCTGTGTGTCTTTTCTGTTTAATAATCTGTCCGAAGTATTTTCTACTCTCCATGGTTTTGCCTTATGGTATTTATTCTGCGGACGACTAATGCCTATTCCTGTTACTCCATGCATTTTCACCTTGAAAGAAGCAAGACAGTTAGAAAAAAAAAAGTTACGACTGATCTTTAATTAAAGCCAGAAATTGTATTGAAGTATATATAGTTACATTCACTTGAGTGTTTCGTCGTGTACAAAAACCAATATTCCTGTAATTGGCCGATAGTGTAAAGAAGACAATTCGTACTGGAATTGTAACTGTTACAGCAATCTCAAAAATATTGCGTTTCTATCTGATGACAATGAATTGCATTGCAGTACAGACCACCAACATTACCGAATCACACCTTAAATGGAAGTAAGTGAAGAACGAGCTTGTCAAATAATCACAAGCATAATTTGATACTATGACATTTGATATGCTATGCCTATGATTAATTGTCTAGCTTACCAGTTATCACATTCCGAAGTTAACTGATAAAGTTAGCCACGCGCGCGATTTTTTTGGAAAATTTTTATAAATCTCTCTCTCTCTCTCTCTCCCTCTCTATCTCTCTCCGTGTATCCCCTTATTTTCTCTCTCGCTTTCTCTCTTTCTCATTGTCTCTCACTAAATACTAGATATTATAATCAAAATTCCATATCGCAATTCTATGTAAAGCGAATAAATATTTACAAAACTCTAGCAACATCGACAATTAATTTCCTAAATTGGGTATTCAGCAAGTTATAGTGATTACACAGACTATAGTCGAGAATAATCTTTTTGTTACATACATACAACTTAACTCAGAGACACAACTCGTGCTATAATTAAAAGTGCATATAAAACTTAACAATTCTTTTTTTTTAATATAAAACCTACCCAATGGAGACAGGTCTTGAAAGCTAAAACTTTAATAATCGCAATCGTTTAATTAGTTACTTATAATAACAGAAAGACGTATTATATAACATATTAAATTAGCCTAAAGAGTTTTCCTAAACCACATATCTTACGTAATTTAGAGTCCGGTTTGTTTCCGGTTGTTTAGCACGAACCATCTCTGTTAGTCTGTTATGCTTCAAATTGATTATAGTAATTGATTTCGGACATCTCTCCCTAAGAACCTAAGGAAGAATTTAAATGTATCTGCATACGCACATGGATGCCATTTTACTGTCTTTTCCATAATGAATCATTACATTTCGATTACTATGTATAATATGCGTCTGTATTTACATACCATAATGGGGAACATTTCAAGTTGATTGTGACAGTTTTCCGTATTGTACAGCTTGGAACATATAACCATGATAACAATTGTATTGTTCATGTTTCACTACAATCACTCATATCACTATAATTGAACACACTTTTAGATATTCGTTCGATGCATGCTAGTCGCTTATAAATTTTCAGATTTCACAAAGGATTTAAAAAAAAGAGACACATATTTATACTTATAGATACGTATATGTAACGAAAATTGGAATGTGTTATATTGCCATTGATAATGCAAATGACAAAATGTTTACAATGTGAATGTTTAAAGCTTCTCATTTTTGTTTAAACGTATATAAATTATTACAGAGGAAGAAAGATCTACGAACTTAGGAAATAAAATGCAATATTTTTGGTCATGCCTCCTCAATATGTTTTCTAATTATCTTTACCTCTTCTAAATTAATTACGTTTATCTCTTCTAAATAAACGTTTTTGTTTTAATTTACGTGAAGAATCTCAAGCTATAAGCGTAAAATAAAATTATAGAACGTTAATTCTTTCCATTTGTATAATATACGCATTAATTAATATAATACAAGTATTTGATTGGCTTTCTCAACTATCGCTTACAAGTATTTCATGGTGACATGTTTTACTGCTCTCCATATATATATATGTATATATATATGTATATATTAGAAATTAGATTACATAATTGAATTGTAAAAATTTACATGTTTTTATGATAACAATGAAATACTTTATACAATAAAACTTATTGACATTCCATAATCCAAAAATAAATGGACTGTATGCGTAGCTAATTATTAACTACATAATATAGTAGCACCTGCTTAAGAGTGATATCATTAATGGAAATACACTTTCTCAATACGCAGCTCTTCAATTTAATATGAAACAAGACGAATTGTTTTTCGTTGATTTTGCAGGAAAGTGTTAAGTTATCGTAACGGGACATTATTTGGGAGGAACAACAGTCACAATCATTTGGATACAGATTTTATATGTATAATGGTTTCGTGACAAAATAAAAATGTATAGAAAAAGTAATAAGTGGAAAAAAACCATGTACATTTTGATGTAAAAGTACAATATTGGGATGTGTACTGGATGAAATTTTGAATGTCGTTATAGAGTATATGATACAATATAATGGAGCGATGGATCGAGAAGTATTAACTCTTTAAACCCTTATTAACAGATATGGAGGAACAAACGTTCGTTGAATGTTTATTCAAAGTTCTCATGAAATGCGTATAACTGAAAATTACAAAAAGGGAACAGTTTTGGGAATTTACATACCAAATAAAAATAAAATACTATGACTATCAGTATAAAAATGTAGAGCATTTAGTTAATGCATCAATAATATCAATTTGTCTTATTGAAAATGTATACATCTATATTTAAGGTGTCGTGATTAGTCTACACGATTATTCCTCTTCGTTAAATCATGTTCAACATATACTTTTAACTCCACTGATTTAATGCTGAATAATGAATAAAGACACGGAAGTAGATAGGAAATTATGTAAGATTAAATAACTAGCCTTACAACTGAAAACAAGTTTAATAACGGCGCAGAAAATATTTGGAGATTAATAGAAAAACTATAACATTTTTATCATATCAAGCATTTTTCATTAAAAAGTAAATATTTAAATTCTTTTTAGATGTGTACTAGATAAATTAATATATCACATAAATAATCTGTAATGTTATGAATTTTTTGTTAACTATATTTAGGAAATATCCAAGATACAACGTTGAAGAATCTTACAACAGGAAACTTGAAAGGAATTGAAAAGTGAATACCAATTATTTCTAATTCTCAACAATAATTTTATTACCAATTTGTTATATTGATATAAGATGAAAAGTATAAGAGTAACTCGTTGTATCCTGAATCTAAATCTTTCTTTGAGAAATGCACGTTCGATTACTGATATTTACACCTATAAAAAAAAGTTCTATTAAATTTATTAGAATATTACTTCACAATCTCTCCACTATAACTTTGTATTACTTTAAATGAAATATATATATTTATAATTAAAATCCTGAAACATATGTAAAAAATATATTAACGTGCGCGATTATCACGAATAACTTCAAAGTTTTCATAATGAAAGCAACATAAAAATCAAATCACCACATTGAGAAAGATATCTCAGATTTATCTAAAGTCTTAGGGGAAAAAAAATAGAATATATATTAATTCGAGCATTATAATTATTGTAC